ATTTAGATGTAAATATAACTATAATATTGATTTTTTAAAGAAACTTTAGGGTTAATATTTTATCATAATTAATTTCTAATTATGTAACTGTGTTATTTTGCTTTATTGAATCGTCATTGAGTAGTACTTGTTTTACTTTTCTCTTCAAACTTATATTATAAAATTTGTTAAATTCTTGTGCAGTTTATAACAAAATAGAGCGTTTTGATCATTCCCTTTGATGTAGCTTTCTTGCAATTGACGAAGAGCGTCTGCTTTGAAGTATAGTGTAACTGAATACATATTTGAAGTAGTAAAGATGTATTTAATCATTTCTTAAAGAGCATGACTATACTGTAGAGCTTTAAATCAGGTAGACTTTCATAAATAAACCAACTGCTGTGTGTGCCTTGATACACAAGAAACATTATATAATACCATATTAATTAAACAAACCGTTGTGTAATGTCTTGATATGCAAGAAATATTATGTAATACTATATTATATAAACCAACTGCTGTGTACTGCTTTGACGTAGAAGAAATATTATGTAATACCATATTGATTAAACCAACTGCTGTGTAGTGTCTTGACAAAGAAGAAAGATTATATAATACAGTAATAATTAAACCAACTGCTGTGTAGCGTCTTGACAAAGAAGAAAAATTATATAATACAGTAATAACCGTTGTGTAGTGCCTTGAGAATCGTAAGATATTGTATGATGGTGTTTTAGTGACACATATTTTTTATCACGCCGTCTGAAAGATTGGAAAGACATTATTTTCGAATAAGAATATTATTAAAACTTCTGTAAGAGCTCGTTTCTGAAGTTCTCTACAAAGGAAAACCACAGTCAGAAATATAGCCATAGTGATATATTTTTTTTAGTGAACGCAGCGTCATCTACGTTTACTTTTCGACCCACTTTAATTTCTATAAAAATTTACGAACAATTTCCAAAAATATATTTTTCTCGTTACTGTTATTATAACTTTTTATTGTCACGGAAAAAGATAGAAACAAATATGGTGTACCACTATAAAGGTACGTTAGTAATGTGCACATGTATGAGATTTGTAATTTATACACTGATTAGATATAATAAAACAATGTAGATTTTACTGGTAATTTGGTGTATTTTCGTATGCGGTAGTCAAATAATTGGAGTAGTTTAAAGTACCTTACTAATAGTAGTTATGGGATTAAGTTTTTAGCTAACTTGTAAGATTTGATCACTTGATGTTCGAAAAGCAACGAATCTGAATCCGAATCATGAAAATAATTTGTTAATGGTAACCTAAATTCCAGCAACTCCTGGAATTGAGTCCCATGTTTCACACACGATTAATGATCACTCGTTGAATAAGCTAAAGGCTTAACTCCTTGTAGTCTATTTGCCAGGATTTTTATCAATTCAAACTACCTGGTTATCGCATTTACATTTGGTCTGTTCTAGTTATAGTTCAAATGTGGACTTCTCTAACAAGATCTAATTTCCTGTTCTCTCGCCGGCTCTAGGTGTACAAAAGTATTACATTTACTATTTATTTCCACGCGTGGCCGTATTTCCACTCGTCAGCATTTTTATCTAAAATTTTGATTTTTTTTGTTTTTTAGCAGTCAGTAGTTTGACCACCACCAGTGTAGTTATTCTACTGTGTAAACGATGGTAAAGATTCTGTCCATCGTGAGGGATAGGCGACTGTCTTCGCCATCTGGGGCCTATTCAAAGAACTCCTGTCTCCTACTTCGCCTCATAATTGAAAATGCATAGGCCATGTGCGACAAAATAATCCTTGTCTTATAAGAAACTACAAACCTGAGCAAGTGAAAGTAATTTACAGGAAAATCTTAACGTCTTGTATCTTCCATAAAACACTTTAAGCGTAATGCTAGAGATTGTTACTTATCGAAGAGAACCTTTGAAACCTCTAAAGTGTTGTATCATTTTGTATCAATTATACCTCTTATTATTTGGTATTCTATAAAACAACACACTTTCAACATCATTGTACTGCCATCTAAAAGTATAATAATAAATCTTAAGTAGTTTATATTTTCGTATAAGATGTAAACAATGTCAGTTGGACAAAAATAAAGGTTTAAAGAGTTTAACATAAGATTTTGAACAGCTTTTCGTTATTATATCATTATTAGGATATTTTACTTTTAGAATTAAATACCTTTAAACACACTGACAAAAACATATTAACAAATAAAAATTAAGAATATTATATTTCTATTTTTTTTTTATTGCATTGCACTTATGAGAAAATATAACTTTGCTACGTTCTACCTCCAGAAGTTACTTTAATCTCTTTTATAGGTCTTGAAAATAAAACTTACTATAACACAACAACGTAAGTAAACTATGGTCAAATCAGTAAACATTATTTCCTTTCCATTATTAAAACTATTCCATACAGAAGTAATCAGCGTTAATTATTTATGTTAAAACGTCCTTTATCAAAAGGATTCTTTGTTATTATCACCGTTTCAAGATTATTTATTACTGATATAGCCTAATATCATTCCAACGATGTTAAGTTCGTTGAATTCTTTGTTGTTGTTTTTTTAACGCAAAGCTACATAATGGTTTACCTACGTTCCAGCCATTACAGGGAATCGAACCCCAAATTCTAATGTTGTGATTTCATAAACACACCATTTACCTACCAATGGACTGGTGACTATTTTAGCCTAAAATGTTTTGAAGGAAAATTTATTGTGCATATGTTTTCATTTCATGCTAATTGTCTTTTCAGTCCAGCTTTTTCTATGTAAAAATTGCTCAATCGTTCATCAGAATACGCTCCCTAGTCAATGTATTATATAGTGTAATTAAGTATAGTATTATTTTAGGCTTGATAACATTAGGAATACGATGGTCACAGGAATTACTTTATATCTTTCTAATAAGATTATATTAAACTAAAATATACATATTATGTATTTGGAGGTTAGAGGTACTGTGCTGATATATATAGTTTTTTTTTGCAATTTTTTTGAAAATAAGTCGAAAGTAAGTTTTTTTTCTTTATTATCTAAAGGATTTATTGAAGCGCCACTTCTCAATTGCATGTGATTTCAAATCAAATCTCTTCATGCAGGAGAAGTCTAATAAAAATCTCAAATAACCATGAAATAAGTGAATTAGAAATGCCTTCAATTTCGTTCTGTCAAAGAGAAAAAATTTACCCTTTCATTTGACGATATCAACAAGAATTTTAACAACTTCAACCATGAAATTATAGCTTACTTATCGCCGAACAATTAGAGACATATTAGGAAGGCTTAACAATATATATATATATATTGGTAATTAAAAGAAAATATACAGGACAGTATTTCAAAACATTTGTTACACACTATTTGCAGCTTTTTTTATCCTTTTAAAAATTAATTTCAATTAATTAATCTTAGCTACGGAAGAGACTGAACAGAGGACGAAACTGAAATTGGCTTATGTTTTTATATTAACCGTAAGAACAGTATTGATCCATAAAAAAAGGGGCCACTTGTCAATTGCAACTCTTAGTGTAATCAATATCTCAACCGTTTCTAGCGATTTGTAGGATCAACTGTATTCCTCATTGATTTTTGCGTCTGATATATCTAATATTACAACCTCCTATCTTGTAACGTATTTTATAATTTAATACTTCTACGTATAGAGAATTTAAGTATTATTTCGTAAGAATCCAATTTTTACAATGATTTTATTTTGCTCCGACTTTTTAAACAAAAAAATCTACATCTTTAAAAGCTCAAATACCAACATTTACGTTAAAAACGGTCTACTTCGAAAATACAGATATTTCTATCATAGTTAAGTGAAGATTAAAAAAATCCATATATATCTCTAACCAAGAGATTCTATTAAGTGTTTAGCAGCCCTTACAGTGATATAGCCCAAATGGGCTGGGCGCGTCATACTGGTTAACATGTCATACTATGGATCCGTGGTTCTTGTCCTGTTGACGCAAAATTGCGCTCTACTCTTAGAGGTCGTGAGTGCGTTATAAGACTGACTTTCACTATAAGAATAGCTCAAGTGTTGACGGTTGTTTCTGATAATCCGCTGCCTTCCTTCTAGACTATTAGTTCAAAATTGGAGATGGTTAGTGCAGGCAGCCCTTGCGTAGCTTTGTGCGAATACTAGAAACAACAAAATAACACAAAAGTCGAGAGCTCTTCTTACAAGTTAAAATAAACCTTCTAATTATTTGTAAAATAAGTAACAAGAATAATTTAACAGGGGGCGAATTAAAATTATCGCTGTAATTGTGAATATAAGTGATATTTTTTGATAAAGAGTAAAGACAACAAAATCTCTAAGAATGCAGAGAATATATATAAAATGTATCCACTATACAGAGCAAGCCAGGCATTAGAATTCCTCAAATGTAAAATAAAATAAAGGATGTGGTTACAGCTACAACAATATCTCGAACTCTGAAGATTTAAACATCACGTTTGTAACCAAGTAATGTAAAACAATTTAATATCGTAGTACGAAGAGTGAGAAATATCATACTATTACTCTTTTAAAAATTGTTCTTATATTTTATGGATGCATCACGAGCATTTCTATCATTAACCAATTAATTCTTTATTTCATCAAATTATAATACAAGAAACATTGTGTTACTCGTTCCATCGGATTGATTTTCTATGTAAATATATTATCTTATCTGTTAAACCTATCTATCATTAAGTTTTCTTTAGACCACAAATGACCATCAATATTCACCGACCTACCACTCTCAATGTCTGTTTAATGATCAAGTTCTTTCTATTCCGTTGAATCAGCAAGAACTGCAAGCCCCCACTAAAGGTCCGCCAGAAAACACTTAGGGAACAGTATCTTGGCAGGCTAAAGACTCCACCGTGAATAACTATATCACGGCTTATCATGTTGGAAGAATCGACCAACCTGTATGCGTGTTCTAAAAGTTTATTCTTGTTCGTGGTCATGTTATAGGCTCATTTCTTTCTTCTCTCTCCTTTTGCTTAGTTGGCCCGTTGAGGATTCCTCCAAATAAAGACATTACCAAAATGAAGAAACCCCGAACACACGCAAAGAAAGCATTGATGTTGCTGCTGGGACTGCTGGTGGCTGTTAGGGCCAGAAGGGGAGGTAAGATCAACTAGGTGTTTGTATAGTGTTTCAGCTTCCTAGTAAAATAGGTCTTGAGTGTCTTTTATTCATATAATATATTTTTTACACCGTCAAATGTGCTAAGCGTCTCATGTCTGTAAAACACACAACGTTCCTCAGTAACAACTAGCTCTGAATGTCTATTACCTATATAATGCACAATGTTTCCTAGCAACGTAGTTACCAAGTGTCTTACAAGAACAACAGGAACAACTATAACGCATACGTATTTTCCTTATTATGAATTTAATTTTGTATCGAAGATAATTGAGAAAGATTGTCTTTAATTTTCTCTCTGTAATTTATTTCTATGATTATGTATGACTTGAAAAACATTTAGTGTTTGAAATTGCATTACTAGGAGCAAATGTAAATAACAATAACCAGTTGAATAAGAATAACACGTTGATCGTCTTTCGAAATTAGTATTATCTGTAAACTTAAACTCAACAAATTTCACAAACGGGAACAAAGTGTTTAAGCTATAATTAAAATATAAGGATTGCTTTGTAAATTACAATACCAATGAAACTTGCATTTGTCTCAATAGCTAAAGTAAAAATTTATAATGTTTTCCGTGAATATTAGATGTGTATTTATGTATATATATATTTGTGTGTTTATGTTTAACATTTACGATTTTGTGAGCTTGATATTTTTTCATATTCCTCATTTAATTGTATTTTTATTAATATTCAGTGTAATTTCTGAACAAAAACGATGATGAATTTTCAACCATTAATTAAAAACAGTTCTTCTTAGTCATCATGAAGACATAAATAGTAAGCTGGCGAAACAAAGTTTAGAAAGGGAATATAAACAGAATTTGTTTCTGTTCATTATAGAATGTGTACATCTTTAATTATCAGTTTCGTAAAACCTTTGAGTAAAGTTAGGTTTTAGCCTAGACTATAGTTTGTAGCTAACTGAATTTCTTAAAACGATACCTGGAGTTTTAGTTACATGAGATTATACTTATGAAATGTGTTTTTGTTCTTTGTTGTCGTTCTGTACTGGTGAAAGTTGATATCTTATCTTTATCTCGGCCATAGTTATTAAACTAATTAATTTTGCAATAACCCTTCCCCGAAGCTCTGTTCCAAACTGTAAAAATCTTGAAGTGAAATCGACAAATTAAGTATGTTCTAAAGTTGTTTTAAAGAACATGCTTACATTTCAGTCGATGCGGTAAACGACTTATAATTTCTGACACATTCATTGCAATTTGAACGAACTAAAAATCCAGATTTCTGTCAGCATGGAAAAACTATCTTGTATTCTTTAACGTAGTGCACATGTTCACATATATAGACAAGACTGTGAAACAAGCGCGTCCTAATAATGCAATCACAAATTGATAGGCAAGAGTGGCTGATTTACAGCAGTGTTATGTGTGGCAGACTTTTCATTTGCTTGTCATGAATGCGGGTATTAAAAATGCTAACCTTTCTACAGTCGTCATTATCTTTGGAAAGTAATAATCCTGCTAAGTTATTCTGTTAATAAATCATACAATATTTTATTAATAAAATAAAAAAAACTTACACGATTAGGGTAATGTTAACAGCCCAATTATTGTATTATATGTGTTAGCATAAAATAACATATTTCTTGAAGGCGACAAGAAATAACGACAAAAGGTATATCTAACGGTATTACAATGAATAAATCGTGTACTGTAACGTAACAATGCGTGGGTCTCCATGTAAAATAAATAACTGTGGTTTAGAAGTTTTATGAGCCGTATGAAAACTTAAACAATACGAAATCAGTATGCTTTTCTCTCCTGTGTTATTACGGCCGTTCATTATTGTATAAGTTATTGTTACATATGGTAAGATTTACTGACGTGTTCAGTCGTTAAGCTTTGTTATAAAATAGTAACGTTCCATCTTGAATAGAATTTTTCAGATACGTTACTATGGGTTGGTGTTAGGATGAAAAATCTATTTATCTAGCATGTCTTCTTGTAAGGTATTCTTATTAAAAAGGCTTTAAAACCTTATGTCGAAACTTTTCAACAATATCATTGTCATTTAAAGAAAAATCCGGTTTATAAAAACAAAAACTAAATTTAAAAGAAGAAAATATATAGCTTATTTTTAACTAGCTGGAGTACCCGTTCTCTGGATAGAAGTTATGTAAATTCATGATTAATAAAAGGTTATCTTAGAGCATGAAAATTTGCTTCCCTTATATGTAATTGTAAAAACGAAAAAACACCAATAAAAACTGCAAAACACAAAATGTGAAACTACATGTTTGCATGTATCTCTCCATGGACCCAATGAACCTCCATACCAAATTTGGTGAATATCAATCTACATGGGGCGAAGTAGTAATAAAAAGCGCAAAATTCAAAACTGAAAATTCATATGTACCCCCGCAAGGACCTAATGAACCTCCATACCAATTTGAGTGAAGATCCATCCACACCCTGCGAAGTAGTTACATGGACAGATAACAGACAGTACTATTATATTTATATAGAAGTAGTTACATGGACAGATAACAGACAGTACTATTAGATTTATATAGAAGTAGTTACATGGGCATACAACAGACAGTACTATTATATTTATATAGAAGTAGTTACATGGACATACCACAGACAGTACTATTATATTTATATAGAAGTAGTTACATGGGCATACAACAGACAGTACTATTATATTTATATAGCTTACTAGAAGCTTCTGGAAATACGAATATAAATCTATGATACAGAAAAAAATGAGGTTGAACTTATATCTTTATCTGCCATATATCTTATATCTTTATACGCATTAAAAGTCTTAAATAATCTTAAAAAATAGGTCTATTTAAATTATTTTTTACACAAGTCATATAAAACATTATTACAGTAGCCATTTCGGCTCTTGTTCATGTTTTTACAATATTTAAAACGGTGTAGCAAACTAATAATTCATTTCATTATACAAATTGTAACAAAACTAGCTAATTTACTGCCTTGAGCTTTAAAAAAGTATTAACTATTTTATATTTTACGTACTCAAACTGTCCTATTCTGTATATGTTTTATCTTAAAGCTCCGTTTCCTTCTCACTTAGTTTTTTTTACCATTTCTCCTGAAGATGAAAAACGGTGCTCAAATTTCATCTTTACGAGTATAAAACAATATTTTAGAAAACTGTAACTTTTACTAGTGCAATTCATAACCTCTTGGTTCCACGCGCTAACTATTCAGGGAACACCTGACAGTGAAACCTCAGTAGAATAATCATCCGAGGTGCAAAAAAACAACAACAACATTTAAATAAACACAATACAGTCCATTAAAAAAAAAAGAAAGAGATTTGGTTCAAAATATAACACCGTCACTGTTGCTTTATTTCCAATTCTTATATCGTCATTTGCCAGATACTTTCTAGAACGACACTGGCAACATAATAATTGTATAAAACAAATTCATGGTAAGTTATCATACTTGTTGATTAGTGTTAACGTATACAATGTGTCTATATAAAAGCCGCATGAGAAGATAGAAATTTAAATAAACCTTATATTGGAGGTTTTCATTAATTAAGATTTATTTACTTTATAAATTCTATTTTTAAACAATGATTCAGACCTGTTGATATATATAATTAGATAATCATTGTATCAGAGTCAACAATGGAGAGGGAATTACATTTTCATTTGATCTCGATATCGACTACATCATCTCAATTTCAACTATTTTACATCTGTAAACAAACAAAAGTTTGCCACACAATCAACAAGAATATACAACAACAAAGACACTTCTCCACAGAGAATAACATTTGGTACTGTTGAACTTTAGTTACTTGAGATATATTAAAATGTGACGATATAAATATTCATTCAGTGGAAAGTCTTAGAATACATTCAGTAATATAACTATATAGAAATTGACTCATAAAATGTTTGTGATATGAAACTTAATGTGTTCCTATTCTATATTTAGGTATCTACTGCCTGTAAATATAGTTTCTGGAATTTTGTAGCATTGGTAGTATTAGCATGTTATGATGCAACAACGTTTTTATGTTCACTAAACAAATTATATTACACAATAGTGTTTCCAACCATGAAATACATATAGGGAATTTATATTCTGAAATATATTAATTTCATATATTTTGAAAGATTCGGGATACGTTTAAAATTCCCTGTGTATATTCTGTCAGGAAATTCGCGGATTCAGGTTTAATTCGAAACATTTTCATATCACGAACTCCCTGCAGTTTCACGTTGAACAAAGAGGCAATCCTCGAGCGATGTTTGATTAGATGCTATCTTGTAAGGATCATACTAAATATCATTTAGAGTTGGCAACGTTAAATATTTATGAAACATAATTATTCAACACATATAAATAAGAGTAAAGTTACATTGTCAGAGTGTCCTTTTAAACTGTTTGACTTTCTGTATCCAAGCAAAACAACATTGGGAGGATGATTTCATAATATTTTAAAAACACATTTGTGTTTTATGGTGATGGAAATATTTAATATTTCTTATCTTCATTTGGAATTTAAATAAGAAGGACAACATCTTGTATAAACTTAATATAATAGAGTGGAGATTAATGCATGCTGTATAAAGCAAAGTAAATGTAGCCTAAAGATACATCTATAAACTGGAGTAAGCGTGTACCACTTGAAGATTAGTGACTGAACTTTAGACCTTTTTATTTAACAAACAGAACGGCTGTGAGATCAGCTTCATCATCGAGTACCTGGACACTTCTTGAACATTAGACATGTTCTTCTCAGCGTTTTTCACAAAGAAACTCACACAGATAGATACATTAATAACATGGAATTGTTTCTGAGATATAAACAAGTCATGGAATACGTGAATTTGGGAAAGGAGAAACTTGGGCGTTTGGAAGTTTAGCATATTCAGACTTGAAGTAGTCGTATTGGTTGGTACATGTAATCTGTACATGAAACCTTTCAACTTTATAAGAAAGATAATAGTATAATATCATG